ATTATCAAACCATCCTTTGCCAGTATTAATTTTCCAGCTTCAGATTCTTCAGCTTTCTTTTGCTTTAAGTTGTTATATAACAACTTCCCTTTTTCTTGAATCCTATTACATTCTATAGGTATGCCTTTCTTCTAGCAATCCTGCTCCCATATAAAAGCTGCACTAGCAGTACCAAATAAAAATACATGTTTCTCACCTGCTGGTGAGAAAAACAGGGCGAGGTTGTCTCACCTGCTGGTGTAGCTGCAGTGAAGTCTTTATGAATTTTCCTTTCTTCTTTTTTTTTTTTTTTTTTTTTTTAACAATGTTCTTACACTGGATGGATTCATTCATCTTGAAAAGGTAAGCAGCTGCAGCTGCAGACCTCAATCTATGCTACGTATCAAGCAATTCAACTTTTTTCTCATAATGTCATGATTTTTCTTAATTCTTGGGAGTCCTTCCAGCATCACTATTAGCACTTCATATGGGTCCCATGGTGTTATTCAAGATTTACGGAATTGCCCTAAATACAATGAAACATATGCAAGAACCATGAGAGATGGCTTTTTGCTGTGATACACAATTTACTGGAGACACTAGCTGCTCATGTGGAGACGATTAGTGTCATCAGATACTTGCAACACTCAAGCTCACCGCAATAGCAACAGGAGGTCGCTGAGATATTATTACCATAGTACGATATGCACTACAATTAATTTTATGCAGTTATTTAATATTACATCTTTATGTTTATTTACATTTCTTTCAACTGTGAACGGTGCTATTTATGGTCTGTAGGTGTTTGTGTGTATAAGTTTTAGTACCTTTTAATTTTTATCATACATATTTTTAATGATAAAATAGACTAGTATCTACATATACTTTATGCACTCATAACATCCCTAACTTTTTCTTTCTTTCTTTCTTTCTTTCTTTCTTTTTTGAGAGGGAGTTTCGCTCTTGTTGTCCAGACTAGAATGCAATGGCATGATCTCGGCTCACCACAACCTCCGCCTCCCGGGTTCAAGCGATTCTCCCGCCTCAGCCTCCCGAGTAGCTGGGATTACAGGCATGTACCACCATGCCTGGCTAATTTTGTATTTTTAGCAGAGACGGGGTTTCTCCATGTTGGTCAGGCTGGTCTTGAACTCCTGATCTCAGGTGATCCGCCTGCCTAGGCCTCCCAAAGTGCTGGGATTACAGGCGTAAGCCGCCATACCCAGCACTTTTTCTTAATTTTTTCAATATATCTAAGCTACGTGGTTTGTCTGAGAGTTAAACTGTGGCAATCTCCAAAAAAACCTTGGAATATATTTATTGAAGGAAATCTGCATAAATGGACCTGTGCAGTTCAAATTCAAGTTGTTTAAGGGTTAACTAGTAATTTATCATTATTAGCATTATTCAATTTGGGGAACTTTCGCACCAATTCTCAATCTGATATACTAGGATACCAGAGAGTTAGTAACTCTTCTAATTGGCAGTGAAATGTTCAGAGGCATTTTTTCCTCCCATTGGTCAGTTCCAAACAGCCCATTACCAATTTATCATTGATTCATAGAATCTCAGGTTATAAGAGATCTTAGAGATTAATTTCTAGCAATGGATATAGCAGAGGAAGAAATAAGATGTCTCATAAGGCAAACTCTTCCCAGAATAATTCCAGTTTGCAGAGTTTCAAGATGGGTCCTTATGGAGTTCTTTTTCCCTTCTCCTTCCATTAAACTGCTTAGATTTCTTTCTGTTCGTTGCATTTCAGTGAAGTTTTCTTTTAGAGATTTAAGGGACTTTGGCAGACAGGCCAAACACTAGTGGGGCCTCATTATCAAGTAATATGTTGCTAAGTATAAGACAGGGTAAAACTGAAAACTGCCTGGTGTCCTGCCATATGGCACATTACAGAGGAAGAGTCAAGGGGCAAATCTTGCAGTTCTATTCTTCGCATACGAAAAGAAAACACTCATGCAAGACTTGGATTTTAGCTTCTTTACAACGTTAGAAATGGTTTTCCATCAACCACTACTAGTCTATCAGTTCTTCCTTCCTTTGGCTAGTGAGACATTTGTAATAGAATTGACTGTCATAACCGTCAGAGCCTAAGGTCATGAAATATGACAGATTCTTTGCTGTTGCAATTGGTGCTTATCTGGAAGCGTCCTTCTTGGCCAACAAGGCTCTACCCAAGGAAGCGAATGAGTTCATTAAAGTAGATCCCAAAGCAGGAAGCAGAATGTGCCTATTCATCAATGGAAGTGGGACTTCTTTTATACCGTTTAGATTTAAGAATCACAATTTTTGAGAATGGACTTATGGAACTGTGATATAACTGCAAAAGCTATGGATAATAAGAGGAATGAGTCTACATCCATATATTTGATTTAACAGATGAATGAGGGTTCAACTCATTTTTTTTTTAAAAAAACAGGGCTAGGTTTTCCCTTTAAAATACATATGCATTGAAATGAAAGAATATGCCCTTTGATTAAGTTTAAATGCTGGCCCAGGGATTAGTTTACAAAGCAGAAAAGTGGTTTGCCCACTTCCTACCTCATTTTCCAATTCTCTCTCATGTTCAATGCAGTGAATGTTACATTTGTGTGTGCCAACCAGGGCATGCTCACAGAAGGAAAGGGTGCTAGTGGAAAGAAAAAGAAAGACATCATGGAGAAAAAAATATTAATGATCAATTTTTCCACCCCAAGAAAACAATCTCCAGGCTCCAGAAGACCGGGTGCAGTGATTCCTCTCCATTTCATTCAGAATTTGAAGCCCAGAGACAACATGGCTTTGAAAGAGAAGCATTTTGTGCTGCCTTTGTAGTCCGAAACAATTAACAGCTCCCAAGTCCCAAAGAGAAACCCGTAGGGCATCCTTCAAACTTGTTACAGAGTACCTTATGTAGTGGCAACCCTTCTGTGGATCATGTGAGACAGGTTCTTCCTCCTACCTGAAATGCCCACAATTCTGAATTAAAAAAAAAAAAGGAGATTGTCCTTTATATGTGTATTGAGATGTGGACCTTGACTGAAGTCTTATCCCATCTGAAATTTACCATCTTCAAGAGGGATAATCCAATGTCCCTATGCATAGATGCAGATCGTCAGAGTTAACAGTGTTGTAATAGATTGTGAACTTTCGGACTTCATGGCTGGGGAAGGAGAAAGAGATGTGTCTACAGGGACTGGCTATTAGGGAGTCTGTACCAAAACTCTAAAGCACAAGCATACTGCTTATGTTTTCCTCTTAATAGGCCAGGCACGGTGGATCATGCCTGTAATCTCAGCACTTTGCAAGGCCAAGGCAGGCAGATCATTTGAGATCAGGAGTTCGAGACCAGTCAACCCTGTCTCTACTAAAAATACAAAAATTAGCCAACCTGTAATCCCAGCTACTCCGGGAGGCTGAGGCAAAAGAATTGCTTGAATCTGGGAGGCGAAGGCTGCAGTGAGCCAAGATCACACCACTGCACTCTAGCCTGGGCGACAGAGCAAGACTCTGTCTCAAAAATACATACATACATACATACTTACAATAATAAACCACATTTACTCTAGAATATTCAGAGATTCTGAATTCCACTAATTTTTTTGTGTCTCCCCCTTCCCCTTTCTCCAGTGTACAGCACAATTCATAGCACATGCTAGGTGCTCAAAACAGATGTGTTGAATCAGTCAAATGAATACAATACATACCCTTCTGCACGTTTTCTTCTGATCTTCTATTTCTTCAGCTATAATGTGGGGATGATGTTATTTCGTGGATTTGTTTTCAAGATTAAATAATATAGCATCCCTTATACAATGTGTAAAATGTCAAATGCTATGCTCGAAGGTACTAGTAGAATTTTAAGTCTGCAGGTATGTTTCAGATTTAAAAAAAAACAGTACCAAAGCTATAGGTGGGATGAGTTAATTAATCTCAGACACATTTAACTAACAGGAAGAAAGAAATAGGCCATGGTAGGAGAAAAGAAAGGGGGACGGTTAGGGATATAGTGAATAAAGTAAGTTGAATTATTTCATACGGGGCAATTTTTCTTGTCACAATAAATCACCCTGTGCCCCACCCCCGCTCCAGGAAGGCAGGGAGGTTGTAAAGGAGAAGCGAGAAGAGGGTTAATTTGAGCTCCCTTCTGCCTGCTGCAGTCACAGTGCATGATAGAATAACGAAGGGCCACATATTTCATCTGAACTTCCTCTGTGGTCTTTTTTATATTAAAGTCTTTCACTGTTACAGGACTGTGCTTGGAAAAGTTGGAAAACTTTTCCCTTGGTGGAGAAAAGCCCTCATCAGACGCAATCCAACAAATGAATGGACTTATTTCCTTGGCCCAACATGTCCATCCACTGGCATACCAAATATTCATAGAAACATCTTTCCTCACTTCCAAGGCCAGAATTTTACTCTCCCCTGGCGTTGCCTAGTGTCCGATGCGCAGATTTCGAAAGCGAGCAGGCAACAGACTTGGCTTTGGAGCCACCGTGGTTGGCTTTTCTAGGAGTCGATGCGACTTACTGTCCTGTGTGGTAACTTCTCCCGGGAGCAGAATGTGTAAAATAAACAGTTGCTGAAAAGCATGAAGAATTAACGAAGTGAAAATCTCGAGCTATTTGTTCGGCAATTGACACGCAAGTGACCTCCTTAAATGCCTAGTTATTTAAGGACGTTTAGCACGAGGATGAATGAATCTTCAGGGCGCTTACTTCGCACCGGCGTGTAAATTTCTTTAGTCTTTCGGGAAGTGGCGGTAAATTCATACACATCCAGCAGGGAGGAGAGAGAAGAGGGTAAAACCACGATCTCGGAGCGCTCTTCTCAGTCCTTTGGAAAGACATGCCTTTGCTGCCCGAACCCTGGAGGTTACAGCTGGGAGAACCCGGAGGCGCTAGGACCTGGTCGGCGCCTGGCTGCGGCCGCTTTCAAGAGGGCGGAGGAGGGAGAGGAGGAGGGGGATGTGGGAAAGGAGGGGTGTTAAGGGGGGCGGGGGAAGTCATTTATGCAGAGCAGGAGCTGCTGCCATTGCCACTCAGAATCCCCGCGCGCTGCTCAGAGCCGGAGGGAGCGCTGGGAGCGAGCAAGCGAGCGCTCGGAGCCCGGGCCAGCAGAGGGGGCGCCCGGTCGCTGCCTGTACCGCTCCCGCTGGCCATCTCCGCCGCGCTCGGGGCCCCGGGAGGAGCGAGACCGAGTCGGAGAGTCCGGGAGCCGAGCCGGGCGAAACCCAACTGCGGAGGACGCCCGCCCCACTCAGCCGCCTCCTGCGCCCGAGCCGGGGAGCATCGCCGAGCGCCCCGCGGGCCGGAGAGCTGGGAGCACAGGTCCCCGCAGCCCCAGGGATGGTCTAGGAGCCGGCGCAAGGCTCGCTGCTCTGCTCCCTGCCGGGGCTAGCCGCCTCCTGTCGATCGCCCAGGGCTGCGAGCTGCGGCGGCCCAGGGCTGCGCGCCGGGCGGCCCAGGCCGGAGAAGTTAGTTGTGCGCGCCCTTAGTGCGCTGAGCCAGCCAGCGAGCAAGGAGCAGCGAGGCGCCGGGACCATGGGCTGGGGGAGCCGCTGCTGCTGCCCGGGACGTTTGGACCTGCTGTGCGTGCTGGCGCTGCTCGGGGGCTGCCTGCTCCCCGTGTGCCGGACGCGCGTCTACACAAACCACTGGGCAGTCAAAATCGCCGGGGGCTTCCCGGAGGCCAACCGTATCGCCAGCAAGTACGGATTCATCAACATAGGACAGGTAACGAACTACAGGCTGGCCCAGCCCTCGGCCCTGAAGCCACTGAGGGCTTCTTGTCCCCTCTGCGTGGAACCCCCTCCCCCTCTTCCAGATGTGCTCTAGCAGCTGTTGCCCTAACTCTTGGGCGATGCTCTGTCTCTTGCGCGCGCGCGCGCGTACACACACACACACACACACACACACACCCCAGAGTTGCCGGGTCCGTGTTTTGTTTACTTGTCTTTTGCAAGCCACGCGGGACTGGTAGGGTCTCGGGAAAAATCCAGAGTGCCCCCGTGGTGGTTTTAGAGACGGCTGGACCTTTTGACCTGAAAAGTTGAGTAGCACTGGTAATCTGAGGCAAAGTCTCGGAGAGGGTGATCGTGGGGAGAGGGTGAAATGAGGTCTTTTGGGGGATAGGGGGTGAGCGCGCCTCTGATGCCTGCGGGTAAGGGAAAGCCTTTCCTGCTCGGACCTGAATTTAGCCCAGAAAGAAGTTTCCTCTTCTTGGGCGAGGGAACCGCTGGCGCTGGAAACGCCGGAGGCGCGGGGACTGGAGCTGGAAGGGAGGAAAAAGGAGGGGGAGGGAAGAGGGGGCGGCACCCGGTGTGAGTGCAGATTTAGGGGAGACTTCTAGGCTTCCTTGCCTTAAGCGAGGTCCGCGTGGGGGCTCCCAGGAGGGAGTTGGAATGGGGAGGTGGGAAACTTCCGAAACCGGCTGGCTGGGTTCCGCTCCGGGAAAACTAGGAGTCTTACCCCGGGACGGAAGGTGCCGGGCCGGGAGGTTGCGCCGTGGGGCCAGAGTTGGGCAGGCAGCAGGGGCGCTGGGTTTTTGTGGGGTGCCGCTCGCGGGCTTTTGGCAGAGCTCCCCTGCTAGGGAGAAATGCCAATAAACTAAGGTGATGCTATGAGAATGACTGGAAGCGTAACAGATTTGGAGGTACTACGGGTTCAGTAGTCTTGGCTTTCTGGTTCTCTTCCCCCCACACCCCTGCGAGAAATGGGGGTAGAGAGGGCTATGAAATTGGGTTCCAAAAAGTACCTCCCTCCACATACACACCGCAAGCGTCTTTGAGGCTGGCCGGAGGAGCGGGTCCTGGCTGGGCTCAGGCGAGAATCCGCTAGAATAGGAGGTGAGGGTGATAGATGGCGCCTTTCCAGCAGGCGCGCTTTGGGGACTGCCCGGGGTGCACGCACCCTGCGTGCTCTGCCTGGGGGAAGGGAGAGGGAGGTGCTGGCTGGTGCCAGAGGAGTGGGAGAGTACGGACAGTTTCTGAGGCCATTGCGTTCCACGCCCAGGAACCCGGGGACACCCCACCCGCCTCCTCCCCGCCGCCTGGGGGATGCGGCACCTGGAGAGGAGGCAGAGCTGCTGTTGCCGAGTCTAGAAGGAGCTGGGGAGCGCGGGGAGTGTTCCGAGCAGCAGGAGCACAAGATCTTGCACTTTGCCCGCTCAGAGGGAGGACATATTCCAGAGAAGCCAGCCCTGTGGAGAACTGAGACTAGGGCAAGGGGCACGGTTTGTATTCCCTCCCGCCCCTGGAAGTAAGGAAGTAAGGGAAGCCAGCCAGATTTTGTTGCTTGAGTGACTGTCATCTGCGGAAGATTTCCATTCTAAAGGCTTGTTGGGATTCTACTGGCTGCTTTTTCTCTAGGAGAAAACACTGAGTCCGTTCAGGTCTTTTTACATGAACTTAAAGTTGGGCACTGCCTATGCTCTGGGAATGGAACTGGGGAGGTTAGCACTGAAAGTAGCTAGTACTATTAATCTTTCCAGAGACTCATCTCGGGTTCTGCTAACATTGAACATCTCACACTTGCCAGGCATATTTGGAGGAATAAATTCTTGACCATACCCTTCTTTCTAAATCTCAAAACGACCTTGTTTGGTGAATATTACCTCACACAGGAGACGAGGAAACCGAGACCAGCTAAACAGTGGCAAAGCCATGATTTAGACCTGGGACTTTGTTGCAGGCCCAGTCCCCCATGGATCCTGCCTTTTAGGGAACCCTTCCATCCCATGATGGAGGAGGAAGAAAGTAAAATATCCATTTCCTTGAATTCTGATTTAATGGCTCAGTAGACTGGAAGCAAATATCTGGTCTCAGTTCACAGATACTTAGTTCAAACAAACCTAGATTTCTTGACTTTAAGAACAAGGGCAGAAACAGCTGTTACCTTTCTGAATTAATTGAGCAGAACTGGTATATGACAGAATCTGGCATAGTGAGATGGGAGAAATTGTCACCCAACCCACTTTTGAACAAGCAAACATTGCAATGTCCAGCATCCTCTGCCTGACTTTTTATAAAAGGCCTTATAATGAAGATTCATGGCTTCTCATTAAAAATAGTAATACTAAGAAAGTTTACATACAAATAACACCAAGAATGATTTATTGTGGTTTTTACAGCGACAGTGAGGAAATTCAGTGCTGACAGAGGTTACAGAGGACCCCTTGAACCAGTGTAAAAAGATCAGCTGTTCTACAGTGGAGAGCATTTCCTCTGTAGATCAAAGGAGCTTAAGCCTATGCTAAGTCTTTGGGGTGGTAAATTGAGTTCACACGTGCAGTATCATTGCACTGTAAGGGCCAAATGTATTTCTTAATCATCCTTTACTGCTCTTACCTTTCAACACTTTAGACATCCTTTTGTTATTCTTTCTTTCCATCAGTGAACCAGCTGAGGTAATCAGCTGAGGGCAGTCACTGATTTGCAGATGCCTCTGGATTGTTCTGTAAATTTTTACCCATTTGGGCTTGGGGTCTCATGTGTTGCAAATTGAAACTGAAACTTGTTATTATTTCTGCAGCCATTTACTATCCTGGTAGTATTTTTTTATATCTTTGGTATGATATTCTAGGTGAGTAAGGTAGTGAATTTTTACCACAGTGAAGGTACAGTTTTGACTCTTTACTCAGAATATCAATGTAATGTTTTGTGTAGCATCTTAGCATTTAAAAGTCACGAGAGGTAACATTTCTGGCTAGGCCGGGGGATTTCTATGGGATCAATAGTTGTGCCTCTTCTGTTAAAAAAAAGATGGGATGTACAGAGTAACACAAGAAGAAAGCAAACAAACAAGCAAAAAGGACGGGCTTGATTTCCAGAAGGAAACATAAATGAGGGTTTTCTTGCCTTTGTTTATAGAGCTAGCATATGTTTTCACAAAATGTTTATATTCTGTGAATAGTTGTGCTTTGAAATCCTGCGATAATACTACTTAACCATAATCATTGTTAGTTGTTGTCATGTTAGCATTTATTATCTTTTGGTTGGTATCAGAGTCAGCTGCAAAATGCCCTCCTTTTCTTACCTACAAGTTCTGACTACCAGCCCTCTTAGGATCTAGTGGAAGCAGCACCGTCTGAGCTGGCCGAGGGTAGGAGGTGTGCATGCCTATTGACCTGCACGGGAATGGAGGGAGAAGCCTTTGTCCTCCCTCACTAATCATGTGCTCTGACCCTTTGAGCTCACGATCTACTGGTTAGACAATTGAAATGATATAAAGGAATAAGACCTGACATATTGTTAATTGTGGACCTCCATTTAGAGTAAATCTACAAAGGAGAATTAATATCTGGTTATTTGAATTCAGGGAGAAGATCCCTTGTGAACAAACAGATTGTTTGCAATCTGCAATAGCTGTATTTATCCTTCTGTCAGTTGCTTATAATCCTTGATTCCAGCCTGAGATTACCAGTAGCAAAGCCCCATCCCCAAACCACATAACAATTTGAGTAACACCTCTGAAGGATAAAACTAGATGCAAGCCACGCTGGGGAAGTATTTTACCTAGGGCCCCCATTGACAGTATGTGGACTTGGAAACTCTGGAGAGGCCACTTTCGAGGCTGTGAAAGCAGGAAAGTCACTGAACTTAATGGAGCCTCTGTTCCTTCATCTGTAAAATGATAAATCTCTAGATAATAGAGTGAGTTAACTATGCATTGCTCAGCACATAGTTAGACTTGCAGCGAAAGGTTTATTTAATCTGAATCTGAGGAGAAAGGTCAAAATAAATGAGATCCAAAGTTTTAGATAAGGAGAAAGGAAGACATTTTAAAAATGGAGATGCGAAAGGTGAAGATCAGGAAAATAAATTTTTAAAGATTGAATTGTAAGAGCTATATCATAGCTTTGTGCAATTTTCCTGTTCAATGAGTGATTTAAAATATTAATAGTTTAGAAATCGTTTCATGTTAGATTCTAAACAATTAGGATTGATTTCCCATGGCAGGGCTCTCTTCCCTCCTTGATTCCAGTCACAGGCCATGAATTGTTATAAGCATACTGCAGATGGACAAAAGGGAAGAAAAAAACCTGAAAAATTTTCTTAAATCATATTCGCATTTACATTTTATTTATTATTTTGGATGTTGTTTGTATGAGTAAAGCTAGAAGAAATATTTTTCAAGTAGGTAGGAAGAGATACATTCGCAGGGAGAACTTTGCTCAGAGATGTCCTGAACACCTCCCGCCCTGCTGATGAATTTTGAGCTGTGAATATTATAGGACGCTTGAAATGTTGATTCACGGTGGGCAGTGAATTCTGGGTGCTTATGCATAGTCCTGGAAATAGGGGATGTGGTTAGTCTGATGGGCTGTATAGGAGTGGATTGTGCTTGCCTAATAAATTCTTAGGCATTTTGTAAACAGGAGAGTTAATTGGTGCTGTAGTCCCAGATTGGTCTTGGTGTGATAAATCTGGCTTTGCATAGGCAGCTCCTCATGCCCAAGAACCTCAGTCCTGACCCCTGCTAGCCACTCTCATATGCATATTTCTTATCATGAGGCAAAAGAAGGGATAGTAGGGGAACCTTTGCTGGAAAAAGCAATTCAGAGTGCATGACCTGATGATGGCAGGTCTGTTGCATTAACCTCATAGATAAGGAATGGCTTGTATGTGGTCATTGGGGATTTTGGGGTCTATTTGAAGTGAAAAACTGCATTTTTGTGAGCCTAAAGGCAGCTGACTTTGCCTTATGACTGTCTTTCATGGGCTTGCGTCCAGAGG